TCAATCTATTAACTCAAAATATGATTACAGCCTTTAAATTTTGTGCGCGAGCCATTTTTAGTTTGTTGGAAAAGACACACCCCCCTGGTTCACAAAATTTGAGATCGAGAAATTTTTTTCAATATTTTACATTATAAGTACCCAAAGAAGTTATATATATAAAAAAAACAGACACAAATAGGTATTTTGCAAAATTGAGAGCAATTTCAAATCTGTTCAGTTTTTTTTGATACACCCTGTATAGTACAATGAACTTGACAGTATGCTCCCTGGGAAATTCTTTAAAATCTGGGGTCAGTAGAGTGCCATTTTAGCATTTTGGGGGCGATTTTAGTCAATTTTTTGCAATTTTAAATCACCGTTAATATTAACACGTAACAACTCTACTTTATAGTTAACTGTTACAAGTCAATCCAAAACACTTTTATATGTTTTAAAAAACATAGCAAGGCCTAAAATTACATTTACAAGAAACGAAACGAAACTATAATGCATGTATGCTTTGTACCGGAACACATTCCAACTAACGCTTTAAGATATAACAAGCGGTATATTATGTAAAGACTCTTTAATTATAAATAATGTGACAACATATTACACAACGTTGCCAGTTGCCACGTTGGTAACAATGAGTTTTCAATACACTTACCATCGTTGTCATTAATCGTAATAATTATCACTCCCTTGACCTTGTCAATTTGCGCATTTGGACTTGCTGTTGATAGAGTGACGACAAAGACCTCGTCGGGTTCAATAATTGAATCATCCTTGGTTGCTATAGTAACTGTTTCGTTGGTATTACCAGGACTAAAGTTCAGGCCAGGTAGTGGAAGTGCATCGAAATCTGCGTTACTGGCGCTTGCAAGCAAAACTGTGGCCCTAAATAAAATGTGGAAACATGGTAGAAATCCAAATATGGTACCAGATTCAGGGTAAAAGGCAAGTGTAATGACCAATTGAAGGGTCTAGTAGATGGAAATAATCGCGCGGAAATTTATATACATTTATTAGACCTAACCAAGTACAGCCGCGAAAAATGAAACTATAGGTCCCTGGCAGAAATCGAACATACAGCCCTGCGATTCGGGTGTATAGCGCTCCAACCAACTGCACCGGAATCGCATGCAGGGTCGCAGGTTCGATTCCTGCCAGGGACCTATAGTTGCATCGATGTGTACGAAACAGATCAATATCATCACGGACGTGAAAGATTATAACTAGAAATACATGCATGCAACAACCCCTCGCCTATATTCCCCAAACATTGTTTCAACATGAAGTATTCGTAGTTACGCCAATACTGAACGCAGGCTCGCGTTGCTCACGTCATATAGTCATGGCAACACAAAATATTTTTTTTAAGTTTTTTGTACAAACCTGCAAAAAATAGATGAAACTTGAACACTTTTAAATACAGAACTATCAATTTCAAAAATATATAAAGTAGGTATATTATTTTGGTTTGTCAAAACGAAACTCTACGTAAAACGTTTTTAAATGTGAATTGAAATTAACTGCTTTTTGCCGATATTAAACTCTTCAACTTGAGCTTCAACTCGCACTTTGAAATTAAATAAATTTAATTCGTACAAGACGCTAACGAAAATAATTTGCCTTCCTTTTTATCATGAACTTCTACAAAAGTTAATTTAACTGAGAAATTTTCACATACAATGCATAGGAAAGACTTGAACAACAAGAACAAAGTCTATAATAACACAAATTTAAGTCATATATAAACAATTGAAACAACATGGCCCTATACTATGCGCTATACTTTAGGATTTCTCGTACTAAATCAATTCTTATGAATGTTGACGTTTAAAAATTGCAAAAAAGTTTTACAATTTGTTATGTGAAACGATTTTCCAAGCTTTCTTACATGTATTTTTTTGTAGTTTTCCCATCTTCATTCCTGGCAGACAGCCATATTTTGAGATCAGTGAGATGACCACCCATACACCATGCGCCCGCGGTATTTGATGAACTTTAGACTTTGCTAGTGCGTTCCTTTCCCCGGGTGTAAATAGCCAGGCGGAATTAGTACCCTGGCCCCGGGCTTACGCCCGGACGCGCCGTTAGCTCGGGGATTATATTTTTGGACATCATGCATTCCGGCAGTTAAGGTAATTCCGCAGTTTTTCATTGCGCACTTTTACTGCGCACATCTTATAACTTATCATTTCATCCATTATACGTACCGTATAAAAAAAATCATTTTATGAGGATTTTATGTTACTTCAAAACATCTTTGGTTACATTTGTGCAAAGAATTACGTTAAATTCAATGTTTTCAAAAAAGGCATACAAAAGTGTAGCTAGGGTTCCATGTGTCTGTAGTATATTTATTTACTTGTATTTCACGTTTTAATGCCACAATTCCCTAAAAAGATCGGTGACCCCCGTTTTTTAACTGATAATATATTTCTTTAATGTATTTTGCATTTCATATTCGAAATTAAAAGAAAAATCATTTCTGAATCTTGAAAAAAAATGCTTTATCAATACATGTTCTCAAAGATTACCTTCACTGAAAATTATAGGCTGGTAAAAATGTTGAAAAAGAAGATATAGACAGTGTTTACATGGCTATATAACATGTAGCGAGTCATTACTCAGTCGGCGGTTTACTTATTTCGAATTTCGTGTTGATAAATTACATCATACTATCGTTTAAGTAGAGAATAATACATGGGTGCGCGGAAATACCAGATTTATTTCGAGTAACACGAAAAATAAATCTGGTATTTCCAAGCACCCATATATTTTTCTGTTTATTATATAAAGGACAGTCTTTGAAAAATAAATAAATGATAAAATACTCAACGTCAGGGGTTTCAGAATAAGCCGGCCGCCGCCGGAGTTCCGCCCGCTACTTGAACTTTTACCGCCGGCTACTTTTCGTCTGGTCACAGGAAACATTTTATATACAAAGGTACAAGCGAACCAACACGATGTTTGTTATGTTCCAATTGGAATTCAAACAAACCATCACTTATTTTGAAAGATCAATAAGATCAATAATACATAGTACCAAACATAGCTTGCTTTCTTAAGTTGCTGTCGAAAAAAAAATAATATAAACATTCTTTGTTATATAGCTAGTGTGAACACCAAACGTGATTGGCTGATTTGTAATCACGTGGCTTTAGATAGATGCAATGTATCCCGCCCGGGCAATAATTGAAAAATTGTTGTCCGCCCCGACCGGCTACGTACATAAATAAACAAAATGGCGGCACAAATTTATGCTATTTAAACTACTGTTTTCGTGGCTTTGTGAAATAAAGAATGTAAAAGAGAAGAAAAATACATAACAGGCAACAGGATATGCTCCTGAAACCATTTAATAAGGTTTTTTAAATTTTAAACTCGTTTACGCTATAGAGTTTTTGTCATGAAATACAAATATTGTTGTATGAATGTTGTTCAATGTTGATATTTGTTTCGTCGCTATATAACAAAACACTTAACGCCTTTTCCCTCGGGAAATAGTTAGTTTTGTTTTCCCTCGAATCTCAATGTAATCTCAAACATTGAGATTCTCGGGAAAACAAAACTAACTAATTCCCTCGGGTGCAGACATTAAGTGTATATTGTTTTCTCGTCGCCATCTTGAATTTCGTAGCAAATGGTCAGCGGCTCTGAATCTTCCTGAACAGGAAGATGACTCTGATTGACTCTGACAGTGACTTAACCATTGGGGAATCCGAATTTGACAGTGAGCCGGAGAACGAGTCAGATTCAGAGCTACTTTGGTTAATGTTTTTCAAGTGACTAATTCTTTGACAGTGAATTAATTATGATAAAGTGATGAAGTAAAGTTCATTACGCGCGTACATAAGTATAACATCATTTGATTAATGATTTCGGACTCATGAATTAATACTAATAGTGTACATTGTCATTCTGTCCATGCAACTGTAAAAATTAAAGTACTAGTAGCACATTAAAGTACATTGTCACTTACAAGTATAAATGCAAATGTCATCTAAATCTAACATATTAACAGTTGTACTTTGTCTCTTTATTAATTCTATATTATTTGATTGTTAATTTGAGGCGAAAATTTTTTAAATTTCCATGTGAGGGCACGCCCACCTCCAGGCGCGATTTTTTAACTATCAATCACGGCCGGCTACTTTTTGGGTACAGCCGCCTACTTCAAATCATTCTGAAACCCCTGAACGTACAGTAAGTGACAATCTGCCGTTGAAGCAAAAGTTATTTGACTTACATTGCAGAAATTTCAGTTGTTAGCAGTCCAGTCACTTGAATGGTAAGCACAACGGGAATTCCTTCGTCGACTGCCAGGTTAGATCCATTGCTGAAACCAAGAGTCGGCAAAACAACTATAGAGAATCAAAGAGTATATGACTGCATAAAAGCTAATTAAAATTAGGACTATATCATTAACATATATTGAACAAAAATAATTGTTGTTAAAATCAAGGCCGTACCTAGACGCGATAATTGTACGGTGGGGGGTGGCTATTCATATATTCGTGTTCTGTCCGACGCATTTCGTTTGGTAGCGATTGTTTTTACGGTATGTGAACATGAATAATAGTGAGCTTAAAGCAAGTGACGTTTTTGACAACACGGACGTCGACCGGAAGTAAAGTTGACGTTTTTCACCAATCGTTGCTCATGCCGTTCGTGTTATCAAAAACGTCACTACGAATACCCCCCCCCCCATCGCGTCTAGGTACGGCCCTGTTGAAATGGGTATTAAAAGCTCTGAATATCGAGGATATCGATGGAAAGGGGAAACCATCTACTTTTGTCTACTTTAACCTAAGCAATGTTTGGACGACACATTGAAATACATCGGGCCTATTTCAGATGTACTGTATATTGAAAAGTATATATTGTTAACGTCGTTTATAAAGCCAATGCCAATTGGCATGGAAGTCGATGTGGGGATCGGTGAAGAAAGTGAAAGTGCCGAAAGTACAAGAAAGCATAGTACAAGAGCTAGCATCCACATCTAGCAGGAAACGAAGATAGGTTACGCGGAAAATTGAAACATTACTGAAGTGCCATTCCCCTCGTTTTCGATTACAAGTTACAATTTTACAAATGACATTTAAGAGCTTCAAAATTTAATTTTGGTACAAAATTTTGATAATCAAGAGAGCCTTTCAACAATTTCATCGTACTTCAAGAAATCTACAATGTCTGGCGCGTATTCATGGTCTCATTGATCGGCTTTATTTAACTTGCAGTCCGCTGGTTTCAAGCTTTCAATGTTTTCTCGACTTCGACTTTTGATCCTCGAACTAGACTTTTGATCCTCGACCTCGACTTTCGACCTTCGACTTCGACTTTCGACCCTCGACCTCGACAATTACCCAAATTCGCTCTTTTATAGTTAAAAGTGTAAAACATTAATTATATTTATATTGTTTTGTACAAAAACTTATAAAACCAATAATATTAATAACATGCGTTCAGTGTTAGCGTAATTACTAATTAGGATTTAAGAATACTTCATTTTGAAACAATGTTTGGAAAAGATGGTCGAGAGGTTGTTACATGCATTTCTAGTATGTTATGTTGTTTATATGAGAATCGTACCTGTATTTTCATGGTTGGTCGAGGGAATAAGCTGGGTGAGAGAAAAATGGGACAATGTCTTAATTTTTCACCTGTGCACGATGTTCCGTCTCCTGAGTACCCAACTTTACATTGGCAACCGTAGCTTTTCCTATCTGGCACGCATTCAGCCATGGAATGACAAGCACCGCCACATCTCGTGTCTATAAAAATTTGTAGTAATTCATGAATAATAGAAAAAGGAATGTATCAATTTGAAGGAGTCTGTATATTCGACAAAAATGCAACTGATTTAAATATAATCTAATTTATATTGATTCTTATTAATATGAAATACCATAATTCAAGTATTCTAGCTTATAGAAGAACCGTGTCTGCATGTGTTGAATAAAATATATATTTATAGAATTTGTCGCTTCGTATGGTATTTTTACCTCTTTACAACACACGCCCACTCATGCTGTATATTATACATAAATTATGTTTATATTAATCATATGACATTAAATGTTTCCTTTATTTTTACTTATTTGACTACATTTTCAATGCATTCTAATTTCGATAAGTTACTGTAAGTTCTCCACTAAGAATCCATATAGGTTACATATTTCAAGCACATTTGAGGGGATGGAGCTTGTTTGGAAAGAACAAATGTCAAAACCGGTATAAAGATGTGGAGGGCGTGGAGCAATTGGATAAATTTAAAGACGAGAAAGCCTTGATTGTTGTAGTTCATTAAGTTCATTACCCTAGGAAGTTAAGATTACTACAAAAAATTTTTGATGAATATTGAAGGTTTTAGTTTCTCTGCAGGGATTTGAATACGGGACATTGAAGACGAAAGGTGGGCCACCACGACGAACGCCGGACCACAACGCCACCAAATAAATATCCGCGAAAATAAAAATTTAAACGCCGGGTAAGCAATTGCTTCCAGTGCTTTCTCGCTTGATATAATGATTTTTTTCGGCGAGCGGTTTACATTTTTTAGTCGTAAGTTATGTGTTAACAGGAGTCATGTGCTTGATGTTTACCATGCACAGTTCTTTCATAAAACAAAAATGATGATACTACCTCTTGAAGAACATTCTACTCCTGCGTCTTCATCATGCCCGCAATTTTCACTTCCCCATCCGTTATGAGAACAATTGGTCAGACTTTGTTCACTCCCATTACATCTGACATCATCTAACCATATCCGCCCAGAACCATCAGAAACATAGCTGCCTGCAAGAGCTCTAACAGCATATGTATAACCAAGCTGATGACATACAACTTTTGCATCGTCAATATCCCAACTATCGTCACAGATTGTTCCCCACTCCCCACTATAGAATACTTCCACACGGCCAGTCCCATTTTCACTTAAAGGCCCTTGCAATCTGAGGGGTGCAGCTGTAAAAATAATAAATCAAATTAAAGCGAAGAACAGCTGACGAGTGAGATATAATTTTCGGTCACATTTCATTGATGGCGCATAACATCACGCATGGTTGGCTAGCTGTCAGACAAATACAGCCATTACAGGCATTGCCAAATACTCTATGTTGATAAAAAAGATGGAACACATTTTGCAAGGGTAAGAAGAGTTCGAAAAGTGTCCAAGATCACGTGAAATATTGTGTACGAAAAATGTTGCATGCGCTGGAATACCTTAATATGGGCATGTAGTCGTGCATAAACGATGACGATGAAGAAAATGTGACGTTCTGACTAGATTATACGGCAATAGCGTTTTGTATTGTGCTGCTACATAAAGTATAGGTACTAAACGGACTTGGTTTGCACTACGAATTACTACAGTCGATCCAGTCCATGCAGCTACATGGGAAGCGCTTGTTTACTAAATCTCCGGTAACTTTTTTCGTTGCCAACACGGCATGTTTACCTGGTCAATGTAGCATGCTGCCTGCCGTGACTCCTGCATAATTGACACACATTGTTTTGAGATTTTTATAAACGTGTTTCACTGATTTGAAAACGTTTTTTAAGAGTTTTACCATAGAAAACGTCTTTAGAATACAGTAAAATGTAATCATATCATAGCTTCAATGTATTGTTATTGGTTATATAAAAGAAAATGTACTTCATGAAAGCCTTACTCAACCTGCCATCTGAATAATATTACAGAATCGAATATCCAAAACTGCTTGATTTAATCGGCATGCAACCCGCAGCGCCATCCTTTTTATAAAAGGATTTATGTCGCACCGGCCAGGAGTCAATATGTAAATGATGAGTTTTTTTACGAGTGGTCGAAAACAGTATAATGATTTACTTGTTGAAGAACATTCTATTCCTGCGTCTTCACTGTGCTTGCAATGTTTATTCCCCCATCCACTGTGAGAACAACTGGTCAAGTTTAACTCATTTCCAATACAATCAACATCGTATAACCATATCGGTCCAGTACCATCAGGGATATCCCTTCCTAGAAAAGCTCTAACACCATATTTATTCAGATAACCAAGCTGACGACATACAACTCTGGCGTTAACTCTGGCCTTAACTCGCCCTAACCCACCTTAACTCGCCCTATCTCGCAATAGAAATTGATCAAATTTTGCTTAACTCGCCCAATCTCGCCTTATCTCGCAATGAGAGTTGACAGAATTTTGCTTAACTCGCCTAAGCTCGCCCTATTTTGCAATAAAAACCGGCATAGTTTCACCACAGTAAAACACAAATACTGTCAATCAAAATTCTTTAGACTCACAATACTCACTATATTCTATGTGTTAGGCATTGCACTGACATCAACATACATATATGTAAGCCTGATTATCTGAAATGTTATCATATTTTTAATTTACTACATTCTATGTAATACCATAAGGTAGTATTGATCAAATACCCCCAACTACTGTACTTTAATAAGCAGGGCTTAGCAAGCATATACATGTACAGTAATACCCAGTATTGAATAAATCACAGTGAAAATAATTGAATATTGTGTGTCTCATAGAACCCAACTGCCAAGTATGGTTGAAAATCAATATTCCCATATATATATATATATATATATATATATATATATATATATATATATATATATATATATATATATATATATATATATATATATATATATATATATATATATATATATATATATATAGGACGTGAAACTCAGAGTAGCGATATTTAATTTTAAGATATAGACAATCTAATAAGCTCTGCTATACTTTTAGTATTGAGCACTTTATATATCTAGGCAACCAAAACAAATTGAATTATATATATATATATATATATATATATATATATATATATATATATATATATATATATATATATATATATATATATATATATAATGAATGAATGAATGAATAGTTTGTTTAATAAAAACATCATCTGGCAGTCAGAAGACTGAATTACATGACGTTAAGTGTTACAAGGTTATAAATAGTAAAAAATTCTATATTACAATGCAATTTAGAAATTGTTAATATATACTATATATCATATA